AAAAATTATATTTGCTATTCGATTCTAGTGTGAATATTGTTTTTATTTATTAGAACAACTCTGAACAATCTTTGCGTTGTTATATAAATTAACCCTTTGCGCTCGAGAATAGGCGCCATTCGATTTAATATAATTATTTAAAAAAAGCATTATTTAATTAATTCATGAAATAGACAGTGGAAATTATTAGTAGAGAAATAATAACTTCAAAAGAAGTCATTTAACATTTTAATTAATATTTCAAAGTTGCTCTTTGCAGACAGTAAAATTATCTTTGAGTGCAAAGGTTTAATCCTAATGTAGTAGCCATAAATATAGAACAGATGCGACTTAAGCAACCTTACCCTGTAAAGAAAATTGAAAAGTTAATTACAGTCCGAATTTAAAGATCCTTGTAGTGAACAGACTCAGTCGCGCTGCGAATATAATTTTTATTCGTCACAACGTCAGTAGCGTGGCAACTTAAAAAATTTACCCGACGCGTTTACTTTTTGAAGTACTCGACCAAGTTGAGATCGCAGCATCGCTGACGCGGAAACACTGTTCGCACAATGTTTGACCGATTTTTAGCGATCGGGAAAAGGCGCTCACGGTTTAATCTCGCCGGCTAAAGTTCATGGCTTCCCGTGGGAGGCGGTTTTCCCAGGTCGGTGTCTCTTTTTTCCCTCGGTTTTCGAGCGAGGAAAGTAACGCGACAACCGAGCGTAAAAGCTCGATGAAAATGTTGCACCGATGCCGACTAACTCGGAAAACACAAAAGGAATGTGATATGCGGCGTTATTAAACCTTTGTCGCGAGCCATTTACCTTTTCCTTTCTTCTCGTGACGAGGATTACGCCGTCGTTTCGATTACGGCGACGTTTTTTCTGGCGACCGGTTATGTCTCCGCTCGCCTACCCTCGAACGAGCGTTCCTCGACCCGACATCGCGGATTAGCCGCAATTCTCGCGCAGTTTATCGCGCGACAACGGCAACGCGACTTTCTAACGAGCCAAGGAATTTCCGCCAACGAACGCGTCTCGCTCGATAACGAGTACAAAAGGCAGGAATGCGTGCCAACCTCCTTAACCTCTTCTCGTTCGCGCGCAATTTCTTCGTCCTCTCGATTCGCGGCGGCACGCGTCTATTCCGCCTCGGCCAGCTAATGGAGATCGCATTTTTTCTCCTTGCAAAGCCATTACGGAGAAACAGCCGACGCAGCGGTTTTCCGCGGATTATCCTGAAACACGGCGCCTCGGAGTAAACAATTTTGCCAGGGAACACTTTTTACCGCGACAAAGATCGAACCTTCGTGGATTACTCGGTTAAAAACGATCGAACGTCGCGTCCGACGCACCAAATCCAATATTACGCGGACGTGCGCCTTTCCGAGTTCCGCGGCCGACTACGAGTAACGGATAAAGAAACTAAGCTACTTAGCGTAAGCTAAATCCGCGTCGTAATCCTTGGCGGTGAATCCGAACGGAAAGTTCGTTGTCCGTAAACTGGGTGGGATCGAAGAGATTTTGATCTCCCTCTCGATAGATTCTTCCGGTCTCCCGACTCGTTCGCAACCCCGAAAAACGTGATCGATTTTCCCCTGACGGTATTTCCGATCGCGAGGGGAAAACGAGGGTTCGATCTTGTAACGACGCGAGTTAGTTTCGTGACTTTTTCAGGGTTCGTTGGAAGAAAGATCGCGTGGGAGGGAACGCGTACCGCACCCTCTCTCGCAGACGAGGGTAGGCACGGCTCTAACGACGGAATCAAATGGAATGGGATAGGACGGAATGAAAGGCTAAGGAATTAGGGACACGTGTTCGGCTACGAAAAAATTACCCTCGAAGATGGGGTCGGGAAAGCGGTTCTGGCATGGCTTTTAACGGCGTCGAGCAACCGGAAGCTAAAATGGGCTCTGCTGTTTCGTCTGTAAAAACCGTTTGGACATGTTCGTTTGTATGGAAGAGCGACTTGCTTAGTGAGCAACTTTTACAAAAATCGCAGCTTTTACTTTAACACTGCGTCAGCTGTTCTCGGATTGTCTTGAGGGCCATCTGCACAATACAGCAACGGGCCTTTAGCTCTGTATCTTAGCTTCTCGGTGTATTCGCAGTCTGATGCTAGAAACGAACCAACAGTTGTACAGTGCTCGTATAGGTTACTCGAAGCACTCGATTTTCCGATCAGCGAATTTATTCCCTTGATGTCCGATCGATGTCTGTGTTTGCACTCTTCTCTCGTAGGCTGCGAAAAGTCAATCCAAACGTTGACTGCAAATATTTACGACGGAATGTCTTGATGGCCCGGTAACGCGATTTCGCTCATCCGATTTAGGAAAGAGCAGTGCAAGCGGTATCTTTGGACAACGCGCGGAAAATCGGCTGAAAGTTTTCAGCGATAAACGGTCGAAGCGAAGAGCGTCGACAAAGGGTCGATAACGCGATTTATGTTGAGGAAAAAACTGGAGGAATCGTCCCAGTTTCGCAACTCGACCAATACGCAGCTGCGGGTAGTTGCGTTCCGTCTACGAAGTCACGTTTCCTCTTAGTTCTCGATTTCGATGATAGAAATCGCGTTTACTCGGTTCCGTCGGTTTTACCTCGACTTCGGAACGGTCCGCGGGGACGAACGCAGTCAAAACGTGTTACGCGTACCGATGGATTTGGATACGTTACGGTTTCGTCGCTTTTTCCTCCTTTAACGTATTCTCTCCGCGAACCGAGTCGTTCGGTTTCGCGAGGGAATCTATTTTCGGAGGAGCTTTCCACGGAATCGCGTTCGTGACGGAAAAATTGAGAGGAAGGAAGAGGAATTACCGCGATATTTAGTCGCGTTGGAAGTGGAGCGAACAGAAACGCATACCGCGATATTATTTTTGGTTATCGGACTCTTCATAGTTTATTCCGTTTCCATTCGGGGAATAAGCTCGGACGAATATTTGTCCGGCAAACGAATAAACGAAATCCAGGTCGATCGATCGGCCGATCGATGACTCCGGGCGATCACCGGACAGCGAAATAGCAGGAAGTCTGTAGGTGGCTATTCCCAAAGTGATCGGACGCGTTATCGACTAAAACTGACCGTCGCGACAATGGAGCTCTTTGATGCAATTGGCTTTGTACGCGTTCGGTCGATGAAAGGGTGCCTCCGCGTACGTTGCGACGCGTCGCGACGACACGGAAGAGAAATCGTGTAATTACCTGCGTCGCGGTATGGAAATTGCGGATACCGATCGAGTGCTGCTCGAAACGTCGTGCAAGTCCATCGAAATTTTCACGCGCGTCGTTGGTCATCGATTTCTCGTTCGGCAACAGGTGGCTCGTTTTTTCCGAATTCGCGAATTTGGGACGAGCCGCCTCGATCCTTTAAAAGAACTCGTATTCACGGAACGATGCCCCCGTTCCTCGATAACGTCCCTTCCGTAATCGATTTCCTTCGAGAGCCGTATTTAGGATTTTGGAAATCGATGGTCGTCGCGTAACGAAGGAAAGGGTCCTTTGGATAATAATAGGAAGGAATAACTGGAGGTCTCTTTGACGTCATCGGTTTCTTTGGCAATCAACGGCAGTTGTAACGAGAGCCGTAGTTTGTACGAACGAGAGAGGGTGAAAGACAAGAGGGCTCGTCGTTGCCCGACGAAGGAGAGCCGAGGGACTAAAGAGACACCGCTACCAGCGAAACCTTTAGGGTTTACCTCTTCCGTATTTATTCGACTCTTTAGGGGATAGGATAACGTATAGAGTCCGTACGGCTTAATGTCATCGCGGAAACCACTCCGAGTTGAAAATAGAACGCGAAGAAAGTCGATCGTCGAAAATTTCAAGTTGGAAAGTTGTTAAAAAAAAAATTTACACGGAACACGTATCGAGGATGTATCGAGCGGTCTCGAGGGTAGGTTGACCGATAACGGCGAGCGAGCACGCGATAACTGCTAGCTCGCGTTTCCCAAGTTTTTACGAGGCGTTCAGACGTCGAACGAGGATAAGAATCGTTATCGTTGAAAGGTGGAGTCACGAAAAGCCGGCGCTCCGTAAATACGTAACGGGATCCTCGTTGGAAATAATATTTCGAAACATCCATCGTTGTCTCGCGAATCCGTTAACTTCGCCAACGGAGAAGATTGCACCGGACATTTCACTCGAGAAGCGGTTACCTTCGAGCGTACCTCGATCGAACAGCCAACTCGTCGGTAATCGAGTTACGCCCGTGCAAGATCGGCCCGTCAAAACGGTCCAAACGACGCCGAGCCGGAAACGGTTTGGACGCGAGGAAGCTTCTTCTTGAACGCGTCGCGATCGCTTCTCGTTCCGGGCGTGAATCGAATTTTCTGCTCGGCGCGGCGTGGATTTCGCGCCTACGGTAACGCGCCGCTTACGTTTTCCTTGCTTCGAATTCGTCGCACGGAAGCTAGCTCGAATCTTTATCCGATTCGCGAAGCCTCGCGTCGCGGACGAGCTCCGACGAAAGTAGGTTAACTCGCGTACACCCTCTTACAGCGTTTCCACCCGACCACGCGTCTCTTCGCTCGAGTCACATTTTTTCGCCGCATTTTCGAAACGCCGTGGTTTTGCCGTTTTTTTTCGCGCCGCGATCGATGCATTAATTAACTTAACCAATTACCTCGACGTATCGAGCTCGCATCACAATTCATAATTCGGTATTAACTCCCAAGTTCGTTAATGGAAATCTACTCTGCGCTTATTTTACACCGCATGTCGGACAATGCACGAGGCTCTTCGTCTTTGATATTTCAACGCTCTTAAAATCCGATGATCGTCGGTGGAAAAATTAAAGGGAACCTTTCGAAATGTTTATTAGACGATCTCGCGCAGCTTAGTCGATTATTTATTCGACGTAGGTCGTGTCATTTCGTCGGTCTAAAGTCGAAAGCTTTTACGGGGCCGTGTTACGGCGTCGAGAGAGCGAAATACGGAGATGATGGGAAGAGTGCGAGGATCCTTCGGAATCCGTTCGCGAGAAAAAGCGAATTTCTAACGAGTAACGTTTTCTTTCCGTTTCAGTCGATGCCACGAGATTGAGGCATTCCAGACACCTGGACTCTCCAGAGGCCTGGAGATCGCAAGCCTCGATCGACGAGGAATTAACGGTAAGTGCTTTTCGATTCCCTCTTATTACGTTTCTTCTCGATTTCCACCCTCAACGAAGTTTTCGTGTGTTCTCAGATGCAGTCGGGCGAGAACCACAATCACAAGCCGGTGTTTTCCAACTGCTCGAATTATGCGCCGGTCGTGAAGGAAGAGCAACCGCACGGCACCGTGGTGATACAGGTGCACGCGGAAGACAGGGATCATCCGGACGACGGAGGTGAGTCGCGAAGCTTTTCCGCCAGGAAGAAACACAACGAGACGTAATCGGGTTTCCTTCGTAGGTACGATCACGTACAGCTTCGTGACCGCTCCGGGTGAGAAGCTGAAGTTCGAGATCGACAACAGGACGGGGTTAATTAGGACCACGCAGGGGCTGGACAGGGACGAGCCCGCTCGAGAGAAGGAAGCTTATCTCACCGTTCTTGCCACCGACAACGGAAGACCTCAGCTCGACGATGTGTGCACCTTTAAAGTCACCATCGAAGACGTCAACGACAACGAGCCCGTTTTCGACAAAGTGGTACGTGCTCCTGAAAAACCAACTCCGATGGAATCGAACGTTCTATGGGTCAATCGATTCGTCCACTTCGCGAACCGCTTATATCCGAATTTTGTCCTTCCGATTCCGTATTTCGACGTCTCGATCGCTCCCGGTAGAATGCATGCGTTGCAACTGTACGATCGCGTCGATCGGACTCGAACTTGTATCTTGCGGACCAATCGAATTTCCCGTAGCGTATTTTGCATCATCGACGCGTACCCTTACGTTTTACCATACGACTGTGTCACACTAACCATCTTCTGCTTCGATATCTTTGTTTTTTTTTTCTTTCCTGAACTCAGGTCTTTCGTGGATACGTATGGAAGGTTGGTTTCGAATCTTTGCGGTGTAAACGTTATTTCGGTGTTTGTTGTGCGTGGGAATGCTACACGAATGCGAACGTATGTGTATAGGAATACGAACGAGAATGCACGTGTGTTACTTTTGTTTTCCGATCGATCGCTTGGCCGAATTCGAACGATGGGATCGGGTTGAAATCCTAAATAAGCTGTTTGGAATTATGCATTTGCGATCCCATCGATCATCTATCGCTTCTTCCGTTGCGTAGCATCGCGTTTACATCTCGTCGCATGCACCGTAGGTTTCTTTTAGAAATAAGGTTGCTGTCGAGAAAGGACGAATTTGAGTGATATTGTTCCGAACAAAAGCAAATTTTGTTTGTTTCCCGGTTGCTTCGTGGTACAGGCGTACACCGAGTCGGTGCCGCAAGATTTGCCTTTGAACAAAGAGGTGATGAGAGTCTCCGCGACGGACATCGACGACGGTAACAATTCTGTCGTTCACTATAGTTTGTCGCCGAAGAGGGCGGAAGACGGCGTCTACTTTCGTATAGATTACAAGACCGGTGTGATATTTCTCAACAAAACTATCGACGTGAGTACTACGGGACAAATAGGAAACGTACTTCGATAACAGCTCGTTTAACGACCGAACTTTCGTAGCGGAATCCTGACTACAAGTTCAGCATGACCGCGACTGCCAGAGATCTGGGAGAAAATCCAAAATCGAGCGTGATCGCGCTTAATATTCGAGTGGTCGAGTCCCACAAGAAGCCTCCGACTTTTATTCACTCGTCGGATCCGCCGAAACCGATCAAACTCAAGGAGAACTTCAATGACTTCGACGCCAGCATCATGCAATTGAAGGCCGCTTCGAACAGCGGGGATAATAGCGATATTATTTTTGAACTCGTTCACGGCAGGACGGAACAGACCAACAAAGCAAACACCTTCAGGTATCGAGATTATCCGCGCGTAGGTACTTGTTCCCGACGCAACGTTCATCCTAGTCTTTTATTTTCGATAGACTGGAAACGAAAAAGAATGTTGCGGACGTTGCGGACATCAAGCTGGCGGGACACTTGGACTACGAGAGCAATACACTGTATACGTTGATCGTACGCGTGCAGAACAAATATCGACTGGCTGCTGAGACCGTGGTCGAGATCGAAGTGGAGGACGTGAACGACAACATTCCGGTGTTTCGAGAGATGAAGAAGGGTAGCGTACTCGAGAACGAGCCACCTGGCGTTCCTGTGATGCAAGTGCGAGCCATCGACGCCGATGGGACTTCCGCTCATAATCAGGTACGTTAACCCCGTCTCTTTCGCTCGTTATCTTCTTCGTCTGATCCTATCGTTTCGTTGATCAAGGTTACGTACGAGTTGGATAACTTCCGAGACTTATTCGCCATCGACAAAGACACCGGCAACATCACCACCCTGACCACGTTCGACAGAGAAGTGGAGGATACGTACAACGTGAAGGTGATCGCTGTGGATAATTCGCCCAGTGCTCTGTTCAAGACCGGAGAACATAACAAGGGACAGCAGGTGTTTCGAATCGAGATCGCGGACAAGAACGACAACGCGCCCCATTTCACGCAGGCCGTTTACACGGCTAGCGCTATTCTCGAGAACGCCAATATCAATGCTCCGGTCACGGAAGTGAAGGCTCTAGACTCCGACACAGCCAGTCCGGTTACCTACAGCATCATATACGGCAACACCGATGACAGCTTTTACATCGAGGACACCACAGGGAAGATTCGCGTGAAAAAACCTCTGGATTACGAGAAGATCACGGAATACAACTTGACCGTAAGAGCGTTCGACGGGGTGTACAACGACACCGCCCAAGTCAAGATCTTCATCGAGAACGTCAACGACAATCCACCGGTCTTCGAGGACTTCGAGAAGAACCCGACGATCGAAGAAGAAAAACTGGTCGAAGGTAATTATTCTCCTCGGTCGACGAAGGATGCGAACCGTTCAGACCTAACCGCGCGTTTTGTTGCAGGGTGCATTACCACCGTGGTGGCCTACGACCCCGACATAAAGGACAGAAACGCCGATCAGCACATCGCGTATTTCATCGTGAAGGAGGATCAACAACCTTTGATCGGTATCGACAAGTCTGGGTGCATGACGCTGAAGAAACCTCTGGATAGAGATTCTCCGTACGGGTATTCCATGTGGACCGTAAGTATCTGTCGAGGAGGATGTATTAGATCTTCGATTTCGTTGCGTTTCAACGGAAATCGTGTTGCGTTTTCCAGGTGATCGTGATGGCGAGAGACGAGGACGGCTCCCCGACCGCTTTGCGGGAACTGGTGATGGTGAACATCACGCTGATCGACATAAACGATAACGCTCCGTTCCTCGATATGCCCTACCCCGTGGTTTGGCCCGAGAACAGATTACCAGGAAAGATCACCGAGCTGAAGGCTCGAGATTGGGACTCGGACGAGAACGGACCTCCGTTTCAGTTTCAGATCGACGAGAAAACAGCCGACAACGAGATTCTCGACAAGTTCGCGATCCGCGGTGCCGACCTGTACGCGCGAGTTCAGTTCGATCGCGAGGAACGAAAGAGTTATGATATTCCTATAGCGATCACGGACAACGGTCAACCACCCATGACGGGGACGTCGACGTTGACGGTGATCATCGGCGACGAGAACGACAATGCTATGTCGGAAGGTTCGAGCTCTATATTTGTCTACAATTACAAAGGAGAAGCACCCAGCACGGAGATCGGGCGAGTGTACGTGAACGACGCGGACGATTGGGATTTACCCGACAAACACTTTGCTTGGGCCTCGTCTCACGATGGCTTCGAATTGAACCAAGAGACCGGTATGATTACCTTGTTATCCGGCATATCGAACGATACGTTCGTCCTAAAGTTCATCGTGACCGAGCACAGCATGCATATTGACCGACATCAAGTGAGCGCTTACGTGAACGTCACCGTGAGAGAACTGCCCGAGGAAGCGGTGTCCAGGTCGGGTTCTGTGCGTTTTTACGGAATGACTGCAGAAGATTTCGTCGCGCCCGACGAATCCGGTGTTAGCAAAAAGGAGATATTCCAAGAGAGAATAGCGAACATGTTGAACGCGTCCGTAGAGAACGTGGACGTGTTCACGGTGCTCCACTCTCCGCATCACGACAACAAGAGCTTGTTGGACGTTCGATTTTCGGCTCACGGTAGTCCTTACTACGCTCCCGAGAAACTAAACACGATATTGGCACAACACGCCAAAGAGATCGAACGAGAACTAAAGACCGACGTGTTGCTGGTGAACATCGACGAGTGTCTCTTCGAGAAGTTGCATTGCAACAGTTCGTGTCGCAGCTATTTGAACGTCAGCACGGATCCGTACCCGGTCTATACGAACACCAGCTCGTTCGTTGGCGTGCGAGCAATCGTGGAACCTCTCTGTACTTGTCACGTAGTCGACCCGTTGGTTTGCTTGAACGGAGGCACGCCACTGGCTGAACGTTGCGAATGCCCGCCGGGCCTCGAAGGACCAAGATGCGAGCTTCTGGGTATCGGATTCCACGGCGACGGTTGGGCCGTAATGCCGCCCCCCGGTCAAGCTTGCGATGACTCTCATTTGGGTTAGTCTCGGTTTTGTTTCACGCTTCCCTTTCTTTCCGTAATAGTTTCCTTATAAAGCGTTCGTCGTTCACTATTTGTGCGCGATCTAGGACTCGAAGTAACGCCTCACGTGGACAACGGCCTGGTGTTTTACTTCGGACCGATGACGTACAGTCCGAAAATTGGAGTTCGAGACTTCATGGCTCTGGAGCTGCAGCAGGGGTATGCAGTTCTGTACATGGATTACGGTACCGGAACCGTCAAGCTGGATCAACGACAAATCAAACTTACCGACGGCAAAAGTCACAAGATAGATGTTTATTGGACGAAAAACGTGAGTGTGGTTTCGTTCGTTAAGACCTGTTGAACGAACCAGCGAATCAACTTATTTCTTTTTTTCACGCGCGTTACAGACGATCGAGATGAAAGTGGACAACTGCGGCATCTCGGCTTGCATGAGTTTGACCGCACCTCAAGGTCCCAACGAATTTCTCAACGTGAACAGTCCGATGCAAGTCGGTGGAACTTTGACCAATCTGGCGCAGCTGTCTTCGCAGTTGGCGTGGGATTACAAACCGACCGATAGAGGCTTCGTCGGTTGCATACGTAACATGACTTTCAATGGAAATGTAATTATATTAGAAAAGAATTCGACAATTGTTGTTTCACCGTGAGCCGGTAACAAGAGAACCTTTCGCCCGAAACTTATCGATTTTCTCATGTTTTAGACGTACAACTTGGGAATGCCCTCGTTATCTAGAAACGCGGATCCTGGTTGCGATCACGGAATGGCCAAGGCTGTTTCCTTTGGAATCGATACGAACTTTCTCGTGGCGATACTGGTTTGCGTGGCGATATTGTTGATACTTTTACTCGCGGTGGTAGTGCACAGGCGAAAGACCGACGACTTGTACAAGGACATGGACGATATCAGGGAAAATATAATTAATTACGAGGACGAAGGAGGTGGCGAAGTCGACACCGGTTACGACTTGAACGTTCTGCGAACCATTTACGACGCTCCGCCTATCGATTCCAAAATAGCCCCCGTCGGTTTGCAGACTAGAGGTAAGGGAACCGCGAAAGAGGTCGCAAACTCCGAAATCCATCCTGGGCCTCTGTCATCCATATCCTTTATTTTTTTTCTTTTTTTTTTCTTTTGAAGCACCCGATGAAGTACCAGATATTTGTGGTTTCCTAGACGGCAAAAAGGAGAGCTGCGACAAGGATCCTGACACGAATCCGTTCGACGATGTGAGACACTACGCGTACGAGGGCGAAGGCAATTCCGAGGGTTCCTTGTCGTCTTTAGCCTCTTGTACGTAAACAAGCTTGTCGGTGATCGGTCCTTCCCATCGTTGCTCGATTAATCGTGTTCTAACATTTGTCGCGCAGGTACCGACGACGGAGATCTCAAGTTCAACTACCTGTCGAACTTCGGTCCGAGATTCCGAAAGCTGGCCGACATGTACGGAGAAGAGCCCAGCGACGAGGAGAGCGACGGAGTCGGGGAAAGAGAAAGCGAGAGCTGGTGTTGAACAAGGCGAGTCGCGTTCGATTCCTGATCGTTCGCGCCAATGCCTTACCTTGCACGCGATACCTATCACCGCCACTCGCTCTCATCGACGAAGCAACGACGCTTCGTAGCCTCGTGTACTTAAAACCGGATCCGAGAGTGCGTTTTGCATTTCCTCGTCGTGATTCGTGCAGTCAGATCGGAGAGAACGACTATGGACGAAACGATTTCGATTTGCCTGTAAACACGACGCGGGAGGGCGCGTCGAGCGCGCGCCGATTCGCGAAACAAATATGCGACGGGAACGTCGTATTTCCTCCTTTCTTTTCTTTACTTGTTTTTTCATTTTCGGTTTCAATCGTTTCGCACGCGAGAAAATGGCGTTTCGTCGTACGGACGAATCGAAGTGTCGGAACATGAACAGAAACGCGCGATATATTTTTTTATTCGTTCGTGGTTCGCGTCGAAGCGGAAAGAGAAAATTAGAAAGGAAAAGAAACAGACAATACATTAACCAACTTTTATTTTGTTACATTTTTTTTGCGGTATCATCGAATAGAGGTAGGAGTTACGCATTATTATTGACACGCGAGAAACGCGTCGGCCGATAAAACTGGTTCGCGTTCAAGCGATTCGACACGGCCGTCTAGTAACTGCTCGTTCGTTTCAACCACGATTACTACGAGACTACTGACGCGGAACGAGACTCTCGGACGATACCGTGTATCGTTCGAAGAGCGAAGCAAGAGTGTTCGTAAGTTGTGGCAATCATTCGAATTATTATAAAGTCTGTGGGCTATTTTTTTTTACGTACATTATAGATGATATACAAGTATACGTACATGCGCGATTCGCTACATGTACGGATGTGTAGATAAGAGACGCGGCACGTCGCTCCACTATTTAACTTATAGATAGTATTTTATTAATTGGATATACGTGAGTGAGATATCGCGTAGAGGATGTGCGCAACTACATACGCGAGCACGCGCATCAACAATATTAGACATAAATATTAAACGCTGAGTATATACCGTACACGGGTGTGTGTCCGTGTGTGTATGTGTGTGTGCGCGCGTGTTTGCGAGTCAAAAAGAAGAGAAAGAAGAACGCGCGTTTCCACGGACGCGCGGCGATCTACAGAGAATCGACGAGAAGAGATCGAGTGCCATATCGTGCATCCAACGTTGACCCGCGTTGCGTGAAGACCACGATCAATACCGAACAATCGTACACGTAATACGCAGGGCGCAAAGCCGACCTTCTAAACGTTGCGCGACACAGGCGATTTCGAGACGACGGTTCGCGAAGAGTAATTCCTTCGTTTCGAAAACGACTGTCCTTTTATCGATCGGTAGCGCAAATCGTCTCTCGTCTGTGTCCCTTTTTATTCGCGATCCAGACGATAAATATACGCGATCACACCGTGCGAACATGTATACACGCGCGCATATGTATATACATATATAGAGATATACATATGTATGTATGTATGTATATTCGTGTACCTATGTACGCGTGCACGCACGTACGTACACGTATATATGTGATAATAATTTGTAAGCTTTTTGTACGATAAATCAACGACGATACGTATGCGTATAATAAGATAGATTGAACGCATCGTTGACGAAGTTGGGCCACGTTGCGGTGTCGAAATTCGGACGTGGTCTGTTCGACATCGGTGCGCATCGGGAGAGCCAAGGTGTAATTTATACGAAATAAGAGTGCAGCTTAACCGAAGCGCGGTCTGATCTCAGAGGATGCGTCAGCGGACGAATCGCGTGAATGTTCGGAAACAGCGATCGGTGATTTACCATCGTACAAATCGAGAACGAGTTGAATGATATTCGAGTTGATTTTTCGAACCGCGTGTTTTAGCGATACAAAAGCAGACAACGTCGACGAACGCGTGAAAGAAACGCATCGATGCACTTTATCGAACACTGCCCTTTACGTATCAAACGAAAAGACTTTAGCGACGCATTTTTTCGCATTTGATCCGACCAAGCAACCTGTCGGCAAATGAACGAATTGTAACAGACAAACGGAAAAGAAATAAATAAGTTAATAAACGAAGAGAAAAGGGAGAAAGAAAGAGTAGAAGGAACTTCAGACAGCGATGTATTCGTACACAGGCTTCTTGTACATTACCCGTGGGTACGCGAAACGGACGTTTCGCAACCTATTCAACATGTGATAGTCGATCGCGAAGCATACGTGCACACCTTTGTTCTTTACCCGCGATCCATCTATTGTCGTCAAAGATACGTGTAATTTCATTTCCTTTTTTCTAGCAATAAAAATTAAAATTCGAAAAAACGCGTCGAATCTTGTTATTCTTTAACTCGCTTATAGCCTTTGTCCGACAAAATGGAAGCAAAAGGCATAACATTGTGTTCGACATGATGAAATCAAAGGTTCAGAACTTTCCGTGGAATTCAATTTTATGTACCTTGTCGTGTTCGTTCTTTTACGAAGTAAAACTCACTTGTGATCATTTGCTAGCAACTTTATCGAATGGTTTAAAACGCTTTTAATTAACCGAATTCGTCACGGGCTTCCATCGAGAAAGAAACCCCTCGATCGTTCGATTGCGACATACTCGAAGCCAGAAACTCGCGGCGTTCGTCCTCGAGAATTCGAGTCAGGACGAGCTGATGACGTGAAATTTCTTAATAGTCTACGTTGGCGGTTGTTCGAACGGTCAAGTTTCGGTGGCGATAATCGTCGATTCGATCGTTCGAGTCCTGGCAGAGTATTTCGCAAAGATCGAGCAGCGTTGGTACCGCGTCTGCGCGATCTTGAACCGTCCTCTTCAAGAAGGGGTGTGAAACTATAAAACCGTGTTCGGTGTTGCTGATCGTCCACAAACGTTCATCCCACATAGACACCGAAGATACCTCGACATCCGAGTTTTCGCGAAAGACTAACTTTGTTTTCCGGATCGCGGTTGCAGTCGCGGCGACATGTAAGTGCTCGCGTTGACCAACCCTGGAATTACTGATCGCCGGTTTTTCTCTTTCTGACATAGGTATCGAAAGATTCAATTGAGTGTTCTCGCGATAGTATTTCTGTTATGGTTGAGCCTGGATCTCGGCGCGGAAGCTCAGCTAAATTTTTCCACCGGCTGGGGAAAGAGGAACCAGAGGGTGAACGAGCGGGCTAACGAGTGCGTTTTACGAGCCAGACCTTCGCTGGAACAGCTCTTAATGGTCTACGATATCATACAGGTACGAGTCTTTTTTTTCGAGAAGAGAAGAGAGCAGTACTGACCGAAAGCGTTTGCAGACGCAAGCGAGGAAAATGATGGATTGTCGGAAGCTGTACGAATGAATACGCGAGGATCAACCGGAATTAGCGGATGTAGGCATCCTAGATACCCGAGCCACTCGTTCGAACGAATTTTCAACGACCGTTAGTTTTTTGCGATCTCTGTCGGATCATGAATCAACGAGCTCGTTTCTTCGTTTCGTAAACGTACCTTGTACAATTAATTACGCAAACGACAATACAAACAATGAGCAGTAACAGAAATAATTTCTTTCACGCTCTCCTCGCCTTCTACGCCTAATTTGCGATCGTATTTTATGCATAGGTTTTCGAAACGACCACCGATGCGAAAGACGTGCGAAATTCGTGACATTTTATCGTTAACTCTTATTTGATAAAAATTGCACGCGTTGATATTACGAGATATGTTTTGTTTAAATAAGTATCACGTTCCCGCGTCGACTATCGACCATCGAATAAGTTTCGATATGTCGAGTCCGAGCGATATCGATACAAGCGTTCGAGAAGTCGAACGAATTTTTTCAAAGAATTTTTTCCAAATTTACAATGTAAATTAAACGGTATTCTAGATCAATTGAAATTAGTAAGCGGAAAGGTATCATGATTAAAATATCGAAGCAACGCGTCGAATATGCGCAAATAATCGAGGCAACGAATCGACTTCGAAGTATCGATACCGTCAGCTCGTATCGCGGCTGTGCAATTTTGGATGCTACCCACTGTAGTCGGTTCGATGTAGCAATCATATTATTAAACAATTTAATTTGTTGTGATCGACAAAACATGTGGCTGGAAATTTAGTGAAGGAGCTGTCGAGATGAGCAGAAAAAACAACGACCTTTGAATCGCATATCGTCCGGCGTACAATATAACCTATAAAGATTCTTCAAAGTTGCGGTTCACGTTTTTGCGGGTATTTCGTAACACGGCCATAAAGAGTCAAGAACATTTCCATTGTGCGTGTATTAATCGTCTTAAAACGAATCATGTTCGCCGTGCAACTGTCTGGTTTATTATCGAAGCAGTTCAACACGAATTATGTCCGCGGAGGTACCAGGTTAGCCTCTTCTTTTGGACGGTACGAAAATTATGGAAAATTCCGTGAATACCAGAAGAGATTAGCCTTTTGGTTGAAGCAGCAAAGTAGTCAAGTGGCCGAAGCCTGTGCAAGACAGTTTGAATTTATCGCGGCACAACGTATCAGAAGAAGCTTGCAAATATTTCATCTGTACACGCGAATGTGGGACGAAGTAGCGCTCAAAGAGTTCATGAAATCATGGAAGAATCGTACGTTAAGGAATACCAGGCACTTTTTGATGAGCAGTATCGGAGTAACGATGTATAATTGGGATCACGAACGAATAAGCGAAGACGAGTTGAACAGGTAAGCGAACGACAAGTCGCCGATATCGTTGTTCGTTGTTCGTTCTTATGAAACTTTCTATGGTCTAATTAGTTTCCTCGGTAGTTACAAGCAGGAGATAGAAGGGATTCACAGGTTAAAAGACTCTACGGTCATCTGTGCAAAATGCCATCAAAGGATCGTTATAGACGTCCAGCAGCCTGGTATAAAGTATTGTACATGCTATGGCAGTAAATTCAAGGCAACAGTCAATGAAGGCCGTACGTACTGATTTTTCAAACTATACTCATTTTCATGACCAACCAAGAACTAACGTTCTTTGGTAATTTTAGCACAGGGATGGAGGCCTTATATAGAACGGGAAGATATGCTCATCTGGAGAAGGGAAGAACCACAGTCTGGAGGACTGTTTTCGTACAAGGTGTACGGTTCATTCGACGACGTCACCGCAGAGGATTTTTTACAGACACAAATAGACGTCGACTACAGGATGAAATGGGACTCGACTGCTCGAGAATTGCGAATCATTGACACAGATCCAAAATCGCAACAGACAGCTGACGACAGCACCGACATCATCTATTGGGAAACGATATGGCCAGTACGCGTTAATTGATCGTTTGTACGAAACGCTCCAACGCGCGATACGTTAACGTATTCTGTCGTGATTTTAGAAACTGTTCGCGAACAGGGATTACGTTTATCAGCGACGGTGGGTGGTGGATAAGGAGAAGCGATTGATCATAATAATTAATAAAGTAACGGAACATCCTAGCGTGCCCGTTAAATCAGGAGTATACAGGTACGACAAGCATCCGAGATCGTTTACTGGAATTTTGAACGATACAGACGATATATACGTGTTGTTTCTAGTTTTGTATTTCGTTATGGAATCGCCTAGTTCGATAAGTATTTCGGCTGCCGAAAGTTACGTGTTAAGATAAGAAAGTTTCAGTGGATTCTGCTTCCATCATCGAATAATTTCAATTCTATGTACGTAACAGAGTCACAACGTACTGGTCGTACATGGTGATAAGGCCTTACACAGAATTTCACCAGCCAGGCATCGAATTTGGATTAACATATTTCGATGATCCAGGCGTAAATATTCCTTCCGCGGTCACTGCATGGGTCGCTATGTCAGGTACGCGTTTGCGCGCGAAAGCGCGTCCTTTAACTCTCGTGTAAATTTTGATGGTTCCATTATGTCTTTACGTAGGACTACCAAACTTTTTAATTCGCATGAGACACGCGTCAAAGAACTACCAAAGTTATAAACGTGACCGAGACGAGGGAAATATGTCTAGTGACAATTATATATCTTTGAACACCGAGGATTCGATCCAGGATAACATCATGGACAGCATCGATACGACAGAGACGATGGAAGAGAGTCAAGTGTCGAGTAAAGAGAAGGAAAATGTCGATCCAGTCGATACGTTCACGACGGATGACGCGCAACAAAAAGAAGATGACAGTGAAAGCGACGAAAGTTCGGATTGTACCGATGCGAGCGACGAAGGCAGAGGTTTATTTCGACACTTCTTCCCTACGAAATTATTTGTCTGACCAGTAATCGCGGTACATTTGACGTAATAGGACCCTTTTCGACTTTTGATCGGTGAAAAGATCCTAACGAGACTCTATGCAGGAAGATCTGTAACATAACGATCGCGATGTAAAGATAGAAAATATTTATAAACGAGAGTACGCATCGGAGATCGCGTTACGTCGAACGCAGTTGGAACGACGAATCGTCGAAAGCACAGCAATAGCCTTTCGAGTGTCGGCTTCCATAATCGACGGACACGAGACTGATTTATTTTTATGATCCATCTCCCCCGTGTCGCTCATTCTCGATACAAGAATGAGACACGAACAAATCCGAAAATATTCCGAGCTGGAGAAAATTGTAAGGTAATTTGTATTTACGCAACGCGAAGTTTTCCTATACGATGGAATATCGTGACGATCAAAATATTCCGTTGTATCAATGTACACTCGATTGTAGTATAAATATAAGTAGATGTACAAATTACGATGAAATTTATTTTCTACGGGAGTACTCGATTTTACTTAATACTATGTGCAATGTCTTTTATCGCTTAAAACGCAAGAGAAAAAACATTACAATCCGCAAACGTAACAAATGTTTCCTTCGGTCCTTAAAAGCATGTGAGTACCTCGTATGTGACGTCGCATGCAAGCACGCACGTTCTATACTCGTCTCACCAAAATTTCGAAACAAAACCATTTATCGCTGCCACAATGCATTTGTTCTAAAACTTTCTTCTCGTGTATACAACGTTACCATTTAACTGATTTTATTGTTTCGTTGTTATTTTTACCTTAATAAAAAACAAAGTGTCTGGTACCAAAGAGTCTCGTTTCAATACTGCATCCTTTGCAACAATATCATTACCTCGTCAAAGTACATCTACTCGGTTCTAAAATTTCCTTCGGCATCCGTTCTGGAACTTAACCAATCTTTGCTACATCTCGTTATCACAGTTCTTTCTCACTAATGTTAAACGCGTTGCAAAACGTCGCGGTTCAAAGTTTCCTCCGAAAGAGGGGTTCGCGAGGGCTTCTCAATTGCTGCGTCGATTTCGGTGGCGAATTCGTAGAAGACGTTCAAATCGTTACGGTCTGGAGTCGAAAGCGTCTCGTGACGAGTTTATCACGGATTTTAGAACTTCGTCGTTCGCGCGATGGTCGTTTCCGTTAGATATAGTACGCGCACGCTTTGAACGCGTATTAAAGTATCGTTATTTCGACTAGGTACATAGAGAAGAAGCTGCGCCGCAAACGAAACGCGAGGGACCAGAGAGCACGTTTTCGCGACTTTTGAACGAGCGCTTCTTCGAATTTCGCAAGAAACGAACGACGACGCAAGGAGAGCAGACGCGGGTCCGAGGCAAGAAGTTCCGCGTGGAAAGAGCGGCGGTACCGTGGCAAGTTGCGCGCGTGCAGGGTTACGTGTGCGCGCGCGAGAAACAAACAACGCTTGAATCGTTATCCGAAGTCCGCGAAGAAGAAGCCGGAGACGAACGAGTAACGGACGAAACTTTCGATTAGGTATCATCGATCGACGCGATAGAATACGAGCGATAACGACAACGACGCGTAAATGCGTTTACGAGTAAGCGGCTGAAGATCATCGAACCGAGCGTCAGTAGCGTACCTGATCTCGAGACGATTCTTCCGTTTTCTCCGGGAGCGCCGTTTGACCGTCCGAATCGAAGCGCGTTTCGTGGGAAGCGATATAACCGGGATAGAAACGGAGCGAGGCGAGGCGGAGCGGAGCGAGCCGTGGCGGGACCGAGCGGGGCAATCGCTTATCCGTTATCGGATCGCGATCACCATCACCGAAGACTAATCTATCGGTAGCGGCAAGTTTAACACGGCACGCGTGTCATTTCCGACAGATAGAGCTGACGCGTATCTAAGAATAGTTGTTAAAAAGCAGCGGATAGACGGAGGTTTTCGCGGATACACGATCCAGCCGCCGATCCGCGCTCGTCCGTTCTCGCTGGTGGGCTCGCG